TGAACTTTTAAAACATTAATTCAATACTTAAATGCAGTGACCAATTTTGAGTTCTTCTGTAGTTTATTGATGCCTATCACATCTACTCCTCCCTAGCTATTGTGATGATAGCCAAACCAAGAGTCCTCCACAGGAGCTAGCTTAAATGCAGCTCAGTAGGGCAGCTTTTAAGCTAGCTACAATTTTTGATATGAAAGGAAAATAAGAGTTACTTCCCTTGAACCATGAAAGCAATGATAATGGCTAGTATAATATATTAAGATATACATTTAACCTTGCATAATCTGGCAACTCTGAATCTGAGCATAACAAAAATTGTTCCTTGCACATATCTTTTCTAGGGCTTTTGAATAAGCTATGAATCATTGAAATCAGACCAGTGGAAGCAAAAGTATTGCTTAGACGCATACATGCACAAATACACACACCATACTTTATATATGATACCTTGCTTCTTCTTCTTGCTTTCCAGCTTGTTGGAAATACTCTTCTATAGTTCCAGTCTTTAAGAACTGTCTGATCTTTCTATTGGCCTATTAGCCTTCTACTTCTTTTTGGCAAAAGTGCAAGAGGCTCAAGTTGATTAAAGCCCCTTGCACTTTGCCAAAAAGAATTGGTTAAGCATCTCATCTTGCAGGGTCTTCTTTCAAATAAGCAATATGGCTTTTACTCATCTATATATATATTTGTATTAATGATTATTGTTAACAGAGTCTATCAGTATCTGTCTATATTTCTGAGAGGAGGTATTGTAATTATTAACACTACATTGTTCAGACTGTTGTCCTTATCTTTGTTGCCATATTCACAACATTTCAGCCCAGTGGATAAAAGCGTTGGTTGGTTTCAGTGACTTGACTCAGAACTGTGAGTTCAATACCTGGCTACTGCAGTGGTAAACAAAAACTTGGATAACTGAGTTAAAGGGAGATAATCGAGACATCCGGAAGAGGCATGGTACATGGAATTAGAACAATCTACCCTAGTGAACAAAATAAAGGGTTCAGTTTGAAATTCCAATCACCTGAGGACGGTTGGAGCCTACAACAGCTGAACCATTGTGAATATGGCAACAAAGAGGAGGACAATAGTCCAAGCAGAGTCTATCAGGTTGTAGATAAGAATTGTGAAGCTCAGGCCATTGTTTTAGATATCTTGAAGACCTTTGACAGGGTTTGGCATGCTGGTTTTCTTCACAAATTGAAAAGTTATAGTATTTCTGGATGAATTTTTAAACTGATTCAATCTTATCAAATCATGAAATGAAAGTCATTTTGAAAGGCTGCTCTTCTAGATCTTTTTGCATTAATGCAGGTATCTCCCAGGGCTCTATCCTTTCACCTACATTGTTCCCAATTTTCATAAAAGACATTTCTTATGTTATCAGTTCTCAACTTTGTATCTATGCTGATGACAAAACTATTTATTTCTGTTTTAATAGTAAGTTTGATCAGTTCAATAAGGTCAAAAAAAAAAAAAAACGATGTACAATCTGTTGTTAACTAGGGCAAAAAAATGTCTTGTTAATTTTAAGACCTCCAAAACAAAGCTGGTCTTTCTAATCATATAAGAGAGTTTTTTCTGCCTTCCATCAGCATGGTTAATGCTAACCTCCATGAGAGTGACTCACTGTACCTTCTCAGGTTAATGTTTCCCACTGAAAAAGTGGAAAGATTATATTAGGTGTCCCAAACTACAATTCTATTTTCAATATATCTAAAAACCTTAAATATAGCCATAGAGATCTTAGCAAACCATAAAAAGATGTAACCAAATTTATCTTGGTACCTCAATTAGCAACAAAAATTAAAAAAAAATTAATGTAAAATTTTATCTCACATGCAAAAGGCCAATTTTAACAGTCTATAATTGAAGATGCAGGCTTCAAATAAGATAAAATTCCTTATAATTGTAATGTTATATAGGTAGTCTTGAAGTAAAAGAAAGATAATGTTAATGGAATTAATAATTCTTAGATAAGACCAGCTTAAACTTTGTGAAAATTTCATTCTCAAAAAAGTTGTAAAAATATAGAAGGGAAAATTGGACTGATTATATGTTTCATTTCAACAGTTTCAATATGTTTCATTGCAACTTTTTCTTGTTTTTTCAACAGTTTCAATATGTTTCATTGCAACTTTTTCTTGTACTTCATAGCACAACAGAGATGAAGCTATTTATTTTCAGTAGTACCCCAATAGAAAAACCTGTATCTACACCACATAAAACAGCCAGAAGCAAATTTTGGCAGTAGGGCAAAAAACAGGACAAAAGTATACCATATTGAACTTACCATAAAAAAGTACATGCTTGAAACTTGGAAACTTTACTAATTTTGGTAGGAAGAATTCAACAAAACAGCTCTTTTCACTGTATTATAAATACTTTTTGTAATATATGTATCTAATTTTAGAGAATTTTGTTAAATTATTTAATTTTTCAACTCATCAAAAATAACAGTAATGATTACAAAACTTAGAAATTTGTTTTACAAAATAAAACAAATACTTTATAATAGTGTTTTAAACTGATAGAAAAGGCTTTGTGGACATTGTGAATGGTTATCTTGCACTTCTCCTAATGGTGATTTGCCAACTGATTTTCCTTATACAGAGTGCAATTCTCGTCTAAATTAAGCTAAAATGAAAATAACAATGACATCTCATTTTAACAGATATATTTACCAAAATTACACAAAAATATCTTAAAATATTAAAGAATAAATTTATTCAATAAAATTGTTATTGGCGTCAACTACAGCCTCTAGATGACTTCAGAATCTCTTGCAACTCTTCTGGACAGTCTCCTTGTTTAAGTTGTTGAATGTTGCCATAATCCTTGCCTTCAATTCAGCTTTTATATTACAAGGAGTTTTATTGGTCTCTCAACTGATAATAATCAAGGAGGTTTGCAGTCTGGGGAGTTGGGTGGCCAGATGTAAGGGATGATGTGGTCACAGAAATTGTCTGACAGTCATGACCAAGTTCTACTTTTGTGGCATGATGCAGAGTCCTGTTGCCAGACATAAGGTTTCCAGCAGCCACCGTCATGACCCAGGGTAACACTATTTCCTTAAAAAACTTCATGTAGGCCTCCATGTTGAGTCTGAGGCCCTGTGGGAAGACAAATGGAGGCATAATGTCTCCATCACTAGTGGTCACTTCAAACACCTTCATAATCACCATTAGACACATCCAAGTCTTTCTGAATCCTCTGCGCTGTCCTCAGATTGACACCCAAACACTCTGAAATATTTGTATTAGACCTTCCAGTGTGAATGCCAAACAGCACAGCATGCCATTTCCAAGTTTTTGGAAGAGTGAATTGTGTCATGGTGCTCTTTTTCTCACAGACAGTGTCCAACTGACTCTACTATACTGTACAGTCAACAAAAAAAAAAAAAAAAAATAGTATGCACAAAATTAAAAATATAAAATGGCAATTTACCTGTTGCACCCTGCAAGCCTCTGATATGTGTAATATTTTTGGGAAACTCCCTATCCTGCCATCCCTTGAAACTGGCATTACATCAAAATCCCATGTGAAGACAAATGTTAATTCTACTTGTACAGTATCATCTGACAAAGGCCATTGAAAATAATTATTTCTCCTCTTTGTTGGAGAACTGAATGGAGATGCAATATCAAAGACTTGACCAATGTAAAAGTTGGAGTCATAATATATTGCAACCTTGGTGCTCGTCACTTGAGGTGGTGGTTCTTCATCACAACTGCTTGAGTTGTTTTTCTTTCCTTTGTTTTAGAGATGGAGATGAATCAATGGTTTCTCCAGTTGTCAAGTAGTTGCAAAGATTTACTTCCACTAGTTTTGAAGTTGATATCTAAGAGAACCTTCAGATATCTAAGTATATCTTTCAGTGCTTCCAAACCACTGCTTGTTGTACATCATTAATAGACTTCACAAGACCTCCATGCTTGATGAATGAGTTAATGATTCTGTTTCTCAGCAGTAGCTTTATACTTTTTTCTTCTTTTGCTTCTCATTTTTAGCAATCCTTTCCTGTACATGAAGTTTCAGAAGTACTTCTTGTGTATCTGTTGCAGATGTTTTGCATGATTTCATGAAATGACAAGAACTGATTGCCACTCAGTTACAGATTTTGCTTCCAGCCAGGCTGTAGTCTGGTGGTGCATGAGCATGTTTGAGGTTGATCTATGTTGAAATGATACAGGTTGTTTTTTTTTTTTTCAGTTCCACAACTACTTTCAAACATTTTTAATAAAAATTAAAGCTTGTGAACCTTACCAAAAAATAATTCAATACAACTCAAAAGACATTTTTGTTGAGAGTAGGTACTTGCATAATTTAAAATATTTTCTTTCATATTTGACAAAAAAAAAAAAAATTAAAAAAAAAAATCTACATTGGACATCTATTTTTGAGAGTTAATATTAAAAGGCTATTAAGGTTAACACAGCTCATAGGTTACTGTATGCAAATAAATATTATTTTAACTATGTTTTAAGTAAAAAATAAATATAATTTTTTTTTACAAAATCCAGTCAGTTATTCTTTAATTTTATTGATTTACTTTGTGTGACACTGGAATGGGTTCATTTATTTTAATTTCTGTGACATTCATCAAAATTTTTATTGCCGACATTATTTTGAATTTTTGGAGACAAGCTGATAAAGAAAGATTTATTATTAGCTTGGAGTGACCATAGGCAATAGACTATCTGGTCTAGGTGACCATGAAACATATAAACAGTGAAAAATATATTTTTTTTTAATTACTAAATATATTGAATATATTTTTCTTCCTTTTCTTTCCCACCTATAACAACAGTGAATGAACAAAACAATTCTTGAGACTGACTGGCAAGAGGCCATCTAGATTGGCTCCGATTATTTTAGATATGGTCAAAACTCTGGCTTTGTGAAATCACATAAAACAACCAGCATGAGAAAAACTGATAAAGAAAGATTAATTATTGAAAATCCCCTTTTTGCCTACGTATTCTAAAAGTTTAGATTCATCACAAAGACAATTGTACCAGCCTTGAGATAGAGAGAGAGAGAGAGAGAGAGAGAGAGAGATAGAGAGAGAGATAGAGAGAGAGAGAGAGAGAGAGAGAGATAGAGAGAGAGAGAGAGAGAGAGAGAGATAGAGAGAGAGAGAGAGAGAGAGAGAGAGAGAGAAGCACTGCCTATATGGAGCAATGGTGGAAGATGAAAAGTGAAAGGAGTTGGAGATAAGGGGGGTGGCTTCATTCCTCTGACAACTCTCAAAAGTGGCTGGACAACCCATAAATTTGGAAAATTACTTGAGTAAATATATTTTGAAAATATGGGATTTGAGAAAAAGGTTGATGCTAAGAGTGGGAAATAACTGAACTCCAGTCAACCCCACACCTGCTAGACACAGGACTCCATAAAAACTGGAGGTTTGGACAACTTACAGAGTCCCCACATCACTTTTAAAGAAATCCATATTGTTCACCAAGACCTCCTGACCAAAATCTTGTGCCAGCTCTGAAGACCAGAACTTAAGAATTTAAATTACTACTAACAGGCTGTAAACTCCAAAAGAGGATCCCAGTGTTATTTGATTATAACAGAAGTGGGAAGGGTTAAAACCACTGTATAAAACAAATCACATATAAACCAAATCATTAATTCTTTATTCCAAAGAATTCTTTTTTACATATCTCCTTGCAGTCAACCCGTTTTTCACTTCAGTTTACTTCATCAGTGATCTTCTCACCCTCTGAGATTAAAAACACAACATGGTAGAAGAGTAAATGGTTGTGAAGTAGATGAACGCTAGCTCAATCAAGTGGAACTGTGCTCATCATCACGATACCAACAACGCATTAACAAAGGAAGAGTCATTAAAATAAGTAAACAATTGCTTTGTACAGTTTTAAAATGCATATTAAAGAATATATAAAAAAAAGACAAACTGCAATAACCATCGATGAAACAAGTCAAATTTAAAATGAGATTCAATTGGCGATGTTCATACACTCGGTCAGCAATAAAAATTTCAATGCATCAGACCTTACCATTTTGCACAAAAACTCTACATAACCTCTTTTTGATCCATGTGCATCTAGAGTTGTGTGAATGCAGAGATATGAAACCAATTGATTATTACAGATGAGACACTGCTCTACAGAGATGTAAATTTAATTTTTTTTTTTTTTTGAGTGTTGAATTTCTCTAGCATTTAATCCTCTAAAGTTTTCAACTTAGAAATTTTTTGTGAAAAACAACTTCAAACCTTATGGTTCAACAACCAAATTGATGGGCATCCTTTTTTTTCTTTAAGATGGGACTATTTTGATATGTGTAAATAGACAACTCAGAGCAAAAATAATTTGAAAAAGACCACTGTGAAATAGTCAACATTGAATAATAAAAAAAATAATCCCTGGTCATCATTGAAATAGCAACATAATTTAAAGAGACATAGAATAAAAACTAATCACACCCGAGAAAGAATTGTATATTCAAAAAGAGAAAAGATTAAATTCTGTTTACATACTAATTTTACCAAAATAACCTTGAAAATAAACAAGATATCAGCAGTAGGAATGGAAGCAAATTTCATTATTTTGACACGTGTTCAACACTGTAAACTAGGGCAGTTTGGGATGCCTAATTATATTGAATCAATTGATAGGTCTGCTGTTACGAAAGTCAGTGCACTGTGTCATGCTAGACAATTTTTCTCATCAGAATCTATCTTATATATTTATAAATCTACCATTCATCTATACATTGAATATTGCAGCCACATCTGGTTAGGTCCTTCTGTGATGTATTTAAAGATTTTTGATAAAATACAAAGAAGAATCTGCAATGTTATTGGTCCTGACATAGCATCTTGGCTTGTGTTACTTTCCCATTGCCATAACATAGCTTCCCTGTATCTTTTCTATTGTTCAGATGAACTTTCTTCTATGGTACATAGACTTTAGTACTAGATTGGTGTCAAGGTCTCATCATTTCATGGTTGAAATTGCTAGATGTAGCTGTAAGTTCTATGCTAACAGTTTTTTCTCTTGCACTTCTCACTTGTGGAACTCTTCTGGCTTATTGCTTTCCAGTTAACTTTCATCTTCAAAACCTTAAATGAAATGTCAATCATTATAGTCTGTCTTCTTAATCCATGTTCTTATTGTTCTTTTCTCCTTTCTTCTTACACACTCAATAACCCCTTGTGTCTTAGTGGCTTCATTGCCTTGATTAGAGTGAAAAAGAAAAAAAAAAGAAAGAAAAAAAAAACCTGTTCTTTCCTCTGTCTCCTTTCATCATTTTCATTTAATCAACAATTAATAAGAATGAACAGAAAAATTAAAATAAATATGCTTATATATAACCAAATTATTAACTCAACTTTTCACCATATCTTCTATCACCAACCAAAGTATGTATTTGGATAACATAGAAAATATCAAACACCTAGAGCAAAAGTGCAGAATATTTCAAATGAATTAGCTTTCCAGAACATTTTAGTTTGAACTTGAATACATTGATAGCAGTTAGATCCACTGGTAGGCCAAGCAGCTGTGACAGATTTGTTTCTATTGTCCTACGGAATTTCAGCCTTTTTCTTTAATTTATATTTTCACCAAAGCTAAAGCTTTTCTTACTAAAACAACCTGTCACCTTCTTTTCATATATCAAATATCCATTATTAATGATCAAACTACTAATACTACTTATGGAACTTCTATTACCTGTCTCATCAGATTAAACAAAACCGTTTATAGTCCGATACCAAGTTTATATTATTGTGATATGATTTATTAATGTTATATCACATTTTATTTTAGAAAATTGTGGCTTGTAACCTAAAAACTTCCAGATAATTTCAAATTGATAAACAAAAATGATAACATTTCATAAAAAACTTAATGTATACAACATATGAAAAAAATTTGTCTCAATCTGCTTACAAACTTTAAAATATTTGCATTACAGATGTGGCATTTACTAATTGTTCTTTTGACTTTCACTATTTTTACTTTTTTTTTTTTACTATAAATTTATTTAAAATGAATTACAATATAGGGAATTTTAAGACAAAGTTAAAAATTTTAAAACAATATAAATTTCAAGTAAAATTTAACAAAAAATATGCTAAACAATTTCAAGAATGTATAAACTTTTTCTTGTTATATAAACAAGTTTTAATATAAACCAATATAGCCCTTACCAAAATAAATGATTAACTGAAATAAGTTACATTTAGAAAGGGAACAAAGTTTCTATAAAGCAAATACAGATTTTTTTTCAAAAAATATATGCCAATCTAGTTACTATTTAGAAAAGTTTTATCAAAATTATGAAAAGAAGAAAAAAACTAAAAAAATTATGGGATCTATGCTCACTAAATCTACATACAATATTTTACCTATTTCATGTACATGAAAATATAAAGCAAAAAATCCTTTTACTTCCCTATTTCTCTCACCCAAATATAAGAAAAAGCATAAAACTTTCATATGGCTTTTTAAAAGGCACTTCAACATTGTCACACAGTTAGACATATTCATAATTTTTTTTCTTCAAAACAAATTTAGCAAGAGTTTAAAAAATGTATAACTGATTACATGTAGTTTATTTATACTAACTACATTTTCTGTCATCTCAACAAAAAGCTTATGGCAATATTTAAGTAATTTTGCAATTGCATTAGCCAATTTTCTGCATGAGTAACCTGTTTTTATATAAAAAATTATTTTTATTTGTTGTAAGAAAAAAATTATGCAGTTTATATAGTTAAAAGTAAAAATGTCCATAGAAAGCTAATACAAAAAAAATTTTTTAAAAATTAGTTACTGAAATATTCTGTTGTCATAACATGAGGCATGTTCACTTATTAGTGTTGAGTAATGATTTCTATTACCATAACAACAGGACATTTCATTAGCCAATAAATATATAAAATCACTTTGTGCTTTATATTTCAGAATAGACTAGAAAAAAAAAATGAATAAAAAAAGTACTATATTTTATAAATAGAAATTTAAATTTATTGAAGCAGAGCCATTCAGTGGGTAGTTTGAATAGTTTTGTAACAAAATATATTTTAATTGTAATTTATATTGATGCAAAGATCACCATTTCTCAATTTAATCCTGAAAATTTTGGTACTATATTTAGCACAAAAATATCAAGTCAGTATAATCGTAATTTTAAATTAAAAAGATGTATTTATGATTAATATCTAATTTATATTTCAGCTTAATATGGTTTTTGAAACAATGTTTAAATAGATTTACTAATACCAAAATTAAAATTATAACAATTATTTATTTTATTTTTTTTTTTTACATATTTCATAATTTAAAACTAAAAGATACAGACTGTTTATTAAATTTTGTACAGTTTTTTCTTTAAAAAAAATAAGAACAGCTACATAACTATCTTAGTTGTTACATTTTACAAATTTACACCATGATACAATTTTTTTTTTATTTAAGCAAAGCAATAAAACCACCAAGATGCAAGGAATAACAGAGGGTGAGATAATATGGAGAAATAAAAATAAAAACAGGAATTAAGCAGCCAGAAGATAATATTTAAATTTTTGAAGATCAAAGTTGACTGGAAATTAAGAAGCCAAAGACTTCCATAAGCAAGAAGTGCAAGAGAAAAGACTGTTAGCATAGAACTTACAGCTACATCTAACAATTTCAACTGTAAAATGAGATGATCTTGCCACCAATCTAGCACTGTGTTTAAATTCATAAAATCTAGAAAGAGGAAAGCTTATCAGAACAATTACTCTGAAAATATTTATAGAAAAGGCACAGAAAAGCTGTGTTATGACAGTGGGAACATGACTAAAGAAAAGATGCTAGGTTCAGGACTGATAACATTGCAGATTCTTCTTTGTATTTTATCAAGAATCTGTAAATATATAGCAAGAGTACCAGACCAGATGTGACAGCAATAGTAAAAGCAAGAATGAATGGTAGACTTATAAATGTATAAGAGATTCTGGCAAAAAAAAATGTCTAGCATGACACAGTGAACTTTCCTAGCAGCAGACTGAGTAATTGTTTCAATATTCTGCATAATAGCAATGCGGTTGCAACATGCTTGCTAATAGATATCTATACAATCAATATAGCACTAAATTATACTTTATAATTTTTTAAAACCTGTTGACAAATAGGAAATTTTAGAATTA